AGAAGTTTAGAGGTAATGTTGGTTAAAGTAATTTCTCTGTGGTTTTCAGAAGAGGACCTGTCGCCCTTCTTGTGAGTCAGTGTGATCACCGATTCACACCATTCATCTGGAACATCTTCCCTCTCCCACACTGAGCCCAGGAGTTTCGGTAACTCCGAAAGTAAGGCTGAAGCTTCATTCTTAAAAGCCGAAGAGGACAGTCCATCTGGGTCGGAGGCCTTGTACATTTTGAGACAATTTTCTTCTCGGGTGAGCTCCATTTCAGTTGGAGGACTGCCATCAACTGGCAGCATTTTCACAGTTGAATCGGGTATAGGGATGTTTTGTGCCGACGAGGGCCAGTTGAACTGAGCCTTAAAATGTTCAGCCCATCGATGTAGACGGCGTTGCTGAATATGAATCAGTGTGCCGTTGGACTCCTTAATTACCTCACTTACGCTTGTTTTCTTTGGATCCGTGCTCCTAATTAATCGGAAAGGATTGCAACTATTACCGATAGTCGCAGCCTTCTCCATCTCTCTACACTTTCCTATCCACCACTTCTCGCGGTCATTCCTCAGACTCTTGATGATCTGGCGTTTCAGGGACTTGCGCGCTTTGTCGCATTTTGAATCTGAAGGAATGGCTTTGCGAGCGTCCAGCAAGCCAACCGAGGTTAGGGAGATCCATCGCTTTTTATTTGATCGTGTGCCAGAATCTGCTGTTGTTTTGATCGACATATTGTATTTAACCAACGACGGTTTGCTCAGAACCTGCTCTACTTGTCACGGATTTTCCCTCCTGAAATTCGAATCAGTGTGCAATGAAACGCATGCTTACATTTCGGTGCAATTGGAATCTGGTTGCAACGTTTTTAGTCATCCTGTTTCTTTTTTTATCTGATCAGGTATGATGCTGGTTCGCGCTATGTTTTTGTTGGTGATGCCAGTGGGAGAATAACTTTACTGAACTTGAATCAAAATGGTGACCAAGCGGAATGTCGTGTGGTCAGAGAATTACGCGGTCATGAACAATCCGTCACTTGTTTATCGTGGGATAGTGTCAAGTCGCATTTGTTCTCCAGCAGCTCCGATAAATCGGTCATTCTTTGGGATATTGGAGGAGCAAAAGGGGCAGCAATGGAATTACAAGTAAGTAGTTTTTAATATGTGTAACTATTTCATTGAGTTGACTGTATTTGTAAGCGAATGCACTCAGTAAAAAAAAATGTTCATACGTTGTTGAATTTCTGAAAGATATGATGCTGTTCGTTTACTTCCCGAAAGTTAAACTGTAAATCTACTTTGTTAATGGCATTACTGATTTCTTGTCTGGGTCATTTTTCACAAGGAATTATCTACTTTTATCTCTGTTACTGCTACGAGTTTGTCTAGTGATCGGGATATTGTTGCCGAGCCTTGAAAGGAATCTCGTTATATTGCTGTAACTGGGTTATTTGAAGCCAAGGGTCGCACTCACCACCACACTTCTCCGTGTTCCACTTCTGCTTGTCACAATCTGAAGCCGGGTTTGAGCTTGCGGCACCTTTGCGCTTGAGTTCACGACAAGAACTTGTTCGTCAGGGTTGCCGTCTCCAGCTGAATGTCGTCAATAGTAGCGATCGTGGATCTTCTCTACCTCTTGGCCATCTTTCAGCTTCAGATTGATTGTACAACCATCAACCATGAACTTTCTTTCCTCCTTTTTGGTTGGTGTCTTTAACCTCCCATTTGGATGAAATAATAAAAGGAGGAGAGGAAAGTTGAAGTAAGGTAGAATAGAAAATGAAGAATTTCAGTTACAAAGAATTTATTTGCAACGGGTTTTTAAAATCATCATCCTCATCGTATAGCGAGATACAGTGAAGTGAACTTCACGGATCAAGCGCACAATGTACACAAAGTAAGTGATAATGTACAAGATGGAGAGGGACTGGACCTAACGCGAGGGAGGCGAAGAAAGTGAACCTCTATGGTCAACACAGGGTGCACAATCTAAGTGTGCACACATACCTTTGCAGGCATTCCGATCCGATAAGAAATGATAACAAAAATGCCACTGCGGTCGGTTAGTTGCCATATCCTCCTGTGTCTTCAACCAACCAGTTACAGAGTCTTTCGCACCCCAACCTGGAAGATGAGAGACACTTATTCTTCTTAATCGCCGTTTGCATTTCTTCATACCTCGGTTCCACGTCGTACTTTGACCTCTGCGTGGTTTCCTCCAACCGGGGGCCGCAACTGCTGATAAGATTCGATGCGATAGAGGACAGCTGAACGTGCACAATCTTTGTCCGAAGCAGCGAAGCCTATTAATCTGAGTTCAATGTGTTATCGAATTTACCACAGAACCATTACAAAATATGCGAGGGCTTACCCCATTGCTGGTTACACACTCGCTCCACCCGACCCGCGCCAAACTACGTAACCATCGACACTCGAAGACTTCTAGACGATGAATGTCTACCTCGCGCAAATTAGGGGTTTCGCAACTACAAAGCAGAATTGACTGCATTCTGACGCGGCTTTGCTGTTTCAACGGAACATGACATCGGCACCAAATGTGTTTCACTCCTGCGTATGCTGCTCGATCCTTGGAAATGCAGGCAGTTACTTCCTTGACCACGCGACCTTAGGAGGAGAAGCAGTCTACCATAATTACTTCTGTACCATCTACCATCAGACCTAGGGTAAACGACACCCGATTTTGTACCATCACTTGGCACTCTGAAGGTGCCAATCGCATACCAAATGAAGTTACAGAACTTGAATGTCTGCCAAGAACGCTTTCTGAATCTTTCATACGTTTGAACAGACAAGCGATGTTGCCAGCGTACTCTAAGTCACGTAGTTTTTCTCCGGCTGCCCATTCAATGCGAACATTTTGTAGACCACTAAGTGCGTCCTCCCGTATTTCGTCGTGGACGAAATCGAATAGGATTGACAAAATAATGTGGCCTTGAAGAACACCGCTCCGGGTTTCGAGCGATTTACTTAGCCCACCATAGACCCTTACGCTACCTGAAGTATGCAGGTACAGTGATAGCAGTAGGTTTTTAAAACTGAATGTTTATTCTTATCTGTTTGTTAAACAATGCACTGCATGAACAGGAGGACCAGATAGGCGAACCGGATATTGAGGCCTTGGAAAGCAGTGTCAAACCATATAAGGCCTCTCTATGCTACTCACTAGATGAGCATTTTTCTACTTGATGTAGCATTTTTTCGTAGGACACCTGTGTTATTCTCACACGATACCAAAAGAGAGGAATTTTCATTGTGATGGATGACTAGCGATTTTCAGTGAAGCGGTATTACATGACCGATTATCAGTACCGCGTGTTGCATATGGACACAGTGGAAATGCACCTTGCTTGTCCACTGCGCATTCAACATCGAAATATTTGTTAGGGTATGAATGGATGTTTAGATGCAAAAACGGCAAAAGTAGCTGCATGTATCAGATCCAATAGGGATTTTCGAACTATATTTCACCAAAGGTGGTTTTTAACGTTCCGAGCACCGGATGAATGTTGTCATTGAGCATTCATAACCGTTCTGTTTGGGAACGTTCTCAGATTCCATCGTTTTGATGGTAGCTTGCAATAGTTCTCTCAGCATGTTTGTGGTTATGTGCTTTCCTTGTTTAACATTTGTTTTGAGGCGGCAAGCATTTGGCCTTCCCGGATTACTTTTTTATTTTTTTATTACACAATGTGAAATACAGCAAACGGGGAAATCCCCATGGACAAATAGCATATTGTAAAGGGCAGAATAGGGGAAGATTCACGTAAGATCCAGTTTATCGATCCTGCGTTTAAAAGTGTATGATTGTAAGTTGGGGGGGGGGGACAACAAGGGGGAGGATGTTTCACAGTTTCAGTCATTTCAGGGGGAAAAGAAGATTGGAGTAGAGGTACGACATCTGGGAACAGAAACCTGATAAGGATGACTAGATGCCTGTGTACAGGATGGGCGGGTAAAA